CCCCATTTAGGACCCCCAAATTCCCCCCAAATTTCCCCATTTAGGATCCCCCAAATTCCCCCCAAATTCCCCATTTAGGATCCCCCCAAATTCCCCCATTTCTCCCCCAAATTTCCCTTTTAGGATCCCCCAAATTTCCCTTTTAGGATCCCCCAAATTCCCCATTTAGGATCCCCCAAATTCCCCATTTAGGACCCCCCGAATTCCCCCATTTCCCCCCAAATTCCCCCCAAATTCCCCTTTTAGGATCCCCCAAATTCCCCATTTTGGATCCCCCAAATTCCCCCATTTCCACCCCCAAATTCCCCCATTTAGGATCCCCCAAATTCCCCCAAATTCCCCATTTAGGATCCCCCCAAATTCCCCATTTCCACCCCAAATTCCCCATTTAGGATCCCCCCAAATTCCCCTTTTAGGATCCCCCAATTTCCCCCAAATTCCCCATTTAGGATCCCCTAAAACGACAAAACCCCAAACCCCATTTCCCCCAAATTCCCCATTTAGGATCCCCCAAATTCCCCATTTAGGATCCCCCAAATTCCCCATTTAGGATCCCCCAATTTCCCCCATTTTCCCCCAAATTCCCCATTTAGGATCCCCCAAATTTCCCCAAATTCCACATTTAGGATCCCCCAAATTCCCCATTTCCACCCCAAATTCCCCTTTTAGGATCCCCAAATTCCCCCATTTTCCCCCCAAATTCCCCATTTAGGATCCCCCAAATTCCCCATTTCCACCCCAAATTCCCCATTTAGGATCCCCCAATTTCCCCATTTAGGATCCCCCAAATTCCCCCATTTAGGACTCTCCAAATTCCCCCATTTCCCCCCAAATTCCCCATTTAGGACCCCCCAAATTCCCCATTTAGGATCCCCCAAATTCCCCCCAAATTCCCTCCGGGCCCCTTTTAGGGCCGCCCCACCCTTTCCCAACCCCCGCCCCTTATCAGCCCCTTCCAGCACCCCAAAAAAACCCCAAAAAAAAACCCCAAAAAGGCCCCGCCCCTTCCCCTATAACCGCCCCCTTTCCCGGGGGGTTTTTGGGGTTTTTTTTGGGGTTTTTTGGGGCTTTTTTGGGGTCACCCCACGAGCTCTGACCTTTCCCTGCAGCTGCCGCGGCCCGAAATAGGATCGGGACCGGGGGGGGGAGGGGAGGATTTGGGATTTTGGGGTGCCCCGCCCCCATAAAGGGCCACCCCAAAAACAAAAAAAGCCCAAAAAAAGCCCCAAAAAAACCCCAAAAAACCCAAAAAAAACCCCAAAACCTCCAAAAAACCCCCAAAAAAACCCCAAAAAACCCCCCCAAAAAAACCCCAAAAAACTCCAAAACCCCCCCAAATTTTAGGGGTGGATTTGGGATTTTGGGGTGCCCCGCCCCCATAAAGGGCCACCCCAAAAACAAAAAAAACACAAAAAAAACCCCCAAAAAACCCCCCAAAAAAACCCCCAAAAAAACCCCAAAAAAACCCCAAAAAACCCCTAAAAAAACCCCAAAAAACTCCAAAACCCCCCCAAATTTTAGGGGTGGATTTGGGATTTTGGGGGTGCCCCGCCCCCATAAAGGGCCACCCCAAAAACAAAAAAAAACCCCAAAAACCCCCAAAAAAACCCCAAAAAACCCCCCAAAAAACCCCAAAAAAACCCCCAAAAACCCCCCAAAAAACCCCAAAGAAACCCCAAAAAACTCCAAAACCCCCCCAAATTTTAGGGGTGGATTTGGGATTTTGGGGTGCCCCGCCCCCATAAAGGGCCACCCCAAAAACAAAAAAATCCTAAAAAAAGCCAAAAAAAAACCCCCAAAAAAACCCCAAAACCCCCCAAAAACCCCAAAAAAAACCCCAAAAAACCCCAAATTTTAGGGGTGGATTTGGGGTTTTTTGGGGGGGTTCCTAAAAGGGATTTGGGGTTTTTATTTTGGGGTTGGGGGGGAGGATCCTAAAAGTTCCCAGTGGGGTTTGGGGGGGATCCTAAAATTGGGGGGGATCCTAAAATGTTTCCTGTGGGATTTGGGGGGGTCCCGAAACCCCAAATGTGGATTTGGGATCCCAAAACCCCAAATGTGGATTTAGGGGATCCCAAAACCCCGAATGTGGAATTTGGGGGAGTCCTAAAACTTCCCTATAGGATTTAGAGGATCTGAAAACCCCAAATGTGAATTTAGGGGTTCCTAAAACTTCCCTGTAGGATTTAGGGGTTCCCAAAATCCCAAATGTGGATTTGGGCATCCGAAAACCCCAAATGTGGATTTAGGGGATCCCAAATCTTCCCTCTAGGATTTAGAGGATCCCAAAACCCCAAATGTGGATTTAGGCGTTCCCAAATTTTCCCTATAGGATTTAGGCGATCCCAAAACCCCAAATCAATTTTGGGGTCCCTGTCCCGTTCCCCCAACTCCAAATGTGACTTTTGGGGTCTCCCATCCCCACCCCAATTTTGGGGCCATTTCCCATTTTAAAAAACCCCAAAAACCCCAAAAACCCCAAAATAACAAAACCCCAAAATAACCAAACCCCAAAATAAATCCACGCCGACACCGCTGCTGCTGCCACCTCCTCGCATTTGTTCCTCGTCCCCAAACGCTCGGGGACCCAAAAAGGGACCCAAAAAGGGACCCAAAAAGGGACACAAAAAGGGACACAAAAAGGGACACAAAAAGGGACACAAAAAGGGACACAAAAAGTCCCTTTTGGGGACACCGCGCGCGCACAAAGGGACAACGGGGGCGCCCCCAAAGGTTTCGGGGTGACCCCAAAAGGCCCAAATGTGGATTTGGGATCCCCAAACCCCAAATGTGGATTTAGGGGATCCTAAAACTTTCCTGTAGGATTTAGGGGTTCCCAATACCCCAAATGTGGATTTAGGGGATCCTAAAACTTTCCTGTAGGATTTAGGGGTTCCCAAAATCCCAAATGTGGATTTGGGCATCTGAAAACCCCAAATGTGGATTTAGGGGGTACCTGAAACCCCAAATGTGGATTTGGGATCCCCAAATTTTCCCTATAGGATTTTGGGATCCCAAAACCCCAAATGTGGAATTTGGGGGGTCCTAAAAACCCCATACAGGATTTGGGGGTTCCTAAAGTTCCCAATGGGATTTGGGGGTTCCCAAAACCCCAAATAGGATTTGGGGGGGTCCCAAAAATTCCCAGTGTGGGATTTGGGATCCCCAAATTTTCCCTATAGGATCTGGGGGATCCTAAAACTTCCCTGTAGGATTTGGGGGATCCCAAAACCCCAAATGTGGATCTGGGGACCCCAATACCCCAAATGTGGATTTGGGATCCCCAAAAGTTCCCTGTAAGATTTGGGGCATCCCAAAAGCCCAAATGTGGATTTAGGGGATCCCAAAACCCCAAATGTGGATCTGGGGGTCCCCAGAAGTTCCCAGTGGGATTTGGGGGATCCCAAAACCTCCAATATTGGTTTGGGGGGTTCCTTAAATTTTCCTGTAGGATTTGGGGTCCCTAAAACTTCCCTGTAGGATTTTGGGGTTCCCAATACCCCAAATGTGGATTTAGGGGATCCCAAAACCCCAAATGTGGAATTTGGGGGAGTCCTAAAACTTCCCGATAGGATTTAGGGGTTCCCAAAACCCCAAATGTGGATTTGGGATCCCAAAACCCCAAATTTGAGTTTACGGGATCCTAAAAGTTTCCTATAGGATTTAGGGATTCTCAAACCCCAAATGTGGATTTAGGGGATCCCAAATCTTCCCTATAGGATTTAGGGCACCCCAGAACTTCCCTGCGGGATTTAGGGGATCCCAAAACCCCAAATCCAATTTTGGGGTCCCTGTCCCGTCCCCCCCACCCCAAATGTGACTTTTGGGGTCTCCCATCCCCAACCCAATTTTGGGGCCATTTCCCATTTTAAAAACCCCAAAAACCCCAAAACCCCAAAATAACAAAACCCCAAAAACCCCAAATGTGGATTTAGGGGATCCCAAATCTTCCCTGTAGGATTTAGGCGATCCCAAAACCCCAAATCCAATTTTGGGGTCCCTGTCCCATCCCCCCCTGGTCCCCGCACCCCAAATGTGACTTTTGGGGTCTCCCATCTCCACCCCACACTTTGGGCTCCCCAACACCATTTTGGGGCCATTTCCCATAATAAAAAAACCCCAAAAACCCCAAAACCCCAAAAACCCCAAAATAAATCCACGCCGACACTGCTGCTGCTGCCACCTCGCGTTTGTTCCTCGTCCCCAAACGCTCGGGGACACAAAAAGGGACCCAAAAAAGGGACCCAAAAAGGGACCCAAAAAGGGACACAAAAAGGGACCCAAAAAGGGACACAAAAAGGGACCCAAAAAGGGGACACAAAAAGTCCCTTTTGGGGACACCGCGCGCGCACAAAGGGACAACGGGGGTGACCCCAAAGGTTTCGGGGTGACCCCAAAAGCCCCAAAAGGCCCCAAATGTGGATTTGGGATCCCAAAACCCCAAATGTTGATTTAGGGGATCCTAAAACTTCCCTGTAGGATTTAGGGGACCCCAAAACGCCAAATGTGGATTTCGGGGTTCCTAAAACCCCATATAGGATTTGGGGGATCCCAAATCATCCCTATAGGATTTAGAGGATCTGAAAACCCCAAATGTGGATTTAGGCGTTCCCAAATTTTCCCTATAGGATTTAGGGATCCCCAAAGCCCCAAATCCAATTTTGGGGTCCCTTTCCCACCCCAAATGTGACTTTTGGGGTCTCCCATCCCCACCCCACACTTTGGGCTCCCCCAACACCATTTTGGGGCCATTTCCCATAATAAAGAAAACCCAAAAACCCCAAAAACCCCAAAAACCCCAAAATAACAAATCCACGCCGACACCGCTGCTGCTGCCACCTTGCATTTGTTCCTTGTCCCCAAACACTCGGGGACACAAAAAGGGACACAAAAGGGACACAAAAAGGGACCCAAAAAGGGACCCAAAAAGGGACACAAAAAGTCCCTTTTGGGGACACCGCGCACACAAAGGGACAACGGGGGTGACCCCAAAGGTTTCGGGGTGACCCCAAAAGGCCCCAAAAGCCCCAAATCCGCGCTCACAGGAGGCGGCAGCAGCGCCGCTGCTCCCGCCCGGGGCCCTGCGGGGCCCTCAGCCGCAGCAGGGGCGGCTCCCCGGGGCTGTCCCCAATGTCCCCAGGGGTGTCCCCAATGTCCCCAGGGGTGTCCCCAATGTCCCCGAGGGGGTTTTTGGGGGGGTGTTTTTGGGGGTTTTTGGGGTCGCTCTTTGGGGTTTTGGCGGCCGCTCGGAGCCGCTTGAGGTCGGCCAAGGTGTGGGGGTGGCCGCGGTCACCCGAGGGCGCCGGGGGACAGCGAGGGGACCCTGGGGACATTGGGGACACGGCGGCGCCGTTGGGCTGGGGGCACGGCCAGGGTGGCACCGAGGACGGGTCCTGAGGGGACAAAGAAAAGGGGACAATGGGGACAATGGGGACAATGGGGACAATGGGGACACTCGGGGTTTGTCCCCAGCGGTGTCACCGTTGTCCCCTCCCCGGTGTCACCCTGAGCACGAGTGTCGTCCCTGCTGGTGTCACAGAGCCACTGGTGTCACCGAATGTTGTCCCCAAGGTGCCTCACCCTGATGTCCCTCCGATGTCCCCAACCTCCACAATGCCCCCTCCACATTGTCCCCAATGTCCCACCCCAAATTGTCCCCAATGTCCTCAAGGTCCCCCAGTGTCCCCAAGGTCCCTCACCCCCAATGTCCCCAATGACCCCCAATGACCCCCAATGTCCCTCACCCCCAATGTCCCCCAGTGTCCCCAAGGCCCCACGATGTCCCCAAGGCCCCACGATGTCCCCAAGGTCCCCTCACATTGTCCCCAGTGTCCCCAATGTCCCACATTGTCCTCAAGGTCCCTCACCCCCAATGTCCCCCCCAATGTCCCCAAGGCCCCACGATGTCCCCAAGGTCCCTTCACATTGTCCCCAATGTCCCTCACCCTCAATGTCCCACATTGTCCCCAGGGTCCTCAACCCTCATTGTCCCCAAGGTCCCCTCACATTGTCCCCAGTGTCCCCAATGACCCCCAAGGTCCCCCCCCAAGGTCCCCAAGGTCCTCAACCGTCAATGTCCCCAAGGCCCCACGCTGTCCCCAAGGTCCCGCACCCCCATGTCCCCCTCAAGGTCCCCAACGTCCTCAACCCTCAATGTCCCCAAGGCCCCACGTTGTCCCCAATGTCCCTCACCCCCAATGTCCCCCAATGTCCCCAAGGTCCCCTCACATTGTCCCTGCTCTCCCCAGTGTCCCCAATGTCCCACATTGTCCCCAAGGTCCCCTCACATTGTCCCTGATGTCCCCAGTGCCCCCCATGTTGTCCCCAATGTCCCTCACCCCCAATGTCCCCCCATGTCCCCATGTTGTCCCCAAGGTCCTCAACCCTCAAGGTCCCCAAGGTCCCCAAGGTCCCTCACCCCCAATGTCCCCCCATGTCTCCCAGTGTCCCCAAGGTCCCCTCACATTGTCCCCAATGTCCCCCAATGTCCCCAAGATCCCCTCACGTTGTCCCCAAGGTCCCTCACCCTCAATGTCCCCCCCATGTCCCCCCCAGTGTCCCCAAGGTCCTCAACCCTCAATGTCCCCAAGGTCCCACATTGTCCCCAAGGTCCTCAACCCTCGTTGTCCCCAAGGTCCCCTCACATTGTCCCCAAGGTCCCCCAATGTCCCCAAGGTCCCTCAGCCCCAATGTCCCCCCCAAGGTCCCCAAGGTCCTCAACCTTTAATGTCCCCAATGTCCCACATTGTCCCCAAGGTCCCTCACCCCCAGTGTCCCCCCCAATGTCCCCAAGGACCCAACCTCCAATGTCCCCCAATGCCCCCAAGGTCCCTTGTCCCCAATGTCCCCAAGGTCCCCAACCCTCAATGTCCCCAAGGTCCCCCATTGTCCCCAAGGTCCCTCACCCCCACATTGTCCCCAATGTCCTTCATGTTGTCCTCATTGTCCCCAATCCCACGATGTCCCCAAGGTCCACAAGCCCCCATGATGTCCCCAGGGTGCCCCCAATGTCCCCAAGGTCCCACGATGTCCCCAAGGTCCCTCACCACCACATTGTCCCCAAGGCCCCTCACCCTAATGTCCCTCCACATTGTCCCCACGTTGTCCCCAAGGTCCTGTGTTGTCCCCAATGTCCCTGATGTCCCCAATGTCCCCAGTGTCCATCACCCCCAATGAACTCGGTGTCCCCAGTCCCCCAAGGTGTCCCCAGTGTCCCCAATGTCTCCAGGTCCTTCACTCCTGATGTCCCCAATGTCCCCGCTGTCCCTCACCCCAGCCCCGCCCCCTTGGCCGTGCCCTCGGTGGTGGCAGTGGTGGTGGCCCTGTCCTCACCCTCGCTGTCCCTGATGTCCCCAATGTCCTTCACCCCCGATGTCCCCAATGTCCCCAATGTCCCCGGTGTCCCTCACCCCCAATGTTCTTACACCCAAGGTGTCCCCAATGCTCCCAGTCCCCCAATGTCCCCTGATGTCCCCAATGTCCCCAATCTCCCAAGGTCCCCAATGTCCCCAACGTCCCCAATCCCCCAATGTCTCCACTGTCCCTCACCCCTGAGGTGTCCTTGACGTCCCAAATGTTCTTGATGTCCCTCACGTCCCCAATGTCCCCGATGTCCCTTATCCCCGACATCCCTGACATCGCCAGTGTCCCCAATCCCCCAATGTCCCCAATGTCTCCAGTGTCCCTCACCCCTGAGGCGTCCCCAGGGTCCCCGATATCCCGAATGTCCCTTATCCCCAATGTCCTTGATGTCCCCAATGTCCCCCACCCCTGAGGTGTCCCCAGTGTCCCCGATATCCTGAATGTCCCTTATCCCCAGTGTCCCCAATGTCCCCAATGTCTCCAATGTCCCTGACGTTCCCAGTGTCCCCAATCCCCCAATGTCCCCAGTGTCTCCCGTGTCTCTCACCCCTGAGGTGTCCCCAATGTCCTGAATGTCCCTGATGTACCCAATGTCCCTTATCCCCAACGTCCCCAATGTCCTCAATATCTCCAGTGTCCCCAATGTCCCCAATGTCCCTGATGTCCCCAATGTCTCCAATGTCCCTCACCCCTGAGGTGTCCCCGATGTCCCCTCTGATGTCCCCTCTGTCCCTCACCCCAGCCCCTCCGCAGGCCGGTGCCAGCGGTGGCCGTGTCTCGCTGGCCGTGCCCTCAGTGGTGACAGTGGTGACAGTGGCAGTGGTGACGGCCCTGTCCTCATCCTCGCTGTCCCCGAGGTGTCCCCAATGTCTTTCACCCCCAATGTCCCCAGTGTCTCCAATGTCCCCTGATGTCCTTGATGTCCCCACTATGTCCAGTGTCCCCAATGTCCCTGATGTCTACAATGTCCCCAATCCCCCAATGTCCCCAATGTCCCCGATGTCCCCGATGTCCCCCAACGTCCCTGATGTCCCCAATAGCCCCAATGTCCCCCATGTCCCTGATGTCTACAATGTCCCCAATCCCCCAATGTCCTTGATGTCCCCAATAGCCCCAATGTCCCCAATGTCCTCAATGTCCCTGATGTCTCCCAACATTCCTGATGTCCCCAATTCCCCTGATGTCCTCAATGTCTCCAGTGTCCCTCACCCCTGAGGTGTCCCCCCTGTCCCCTCTGATGTCCCCTCTGTCCCTCACCCCAGCCCCTCCGCGGGCCGCTGCCAGCGGTGGCCGTGTCTCGCTGGCCGTGCCCTCAGTGGTGACAGTGACAGCGGTGACAGTGGCAGCGGTGGCAGTGGTGGCGGTGGTGGCCCTGTCCTCGTCCTCCGCTGTCCCTGAGGTGTCCCCAATGTCCTTCACCCCCAACATCCCCAATGTCCCCAGTGTCTCCAATGTCCCCTGATGTCCTTGATGTCCCCACTATGTCCAGTGTCCCCAATGTCCCTGATGTCTACAATGTCCCCAATCCCCCAATGACCCCAATGTCCCCAATGCCCCCAATGTCCCAATGCCCTCAATGTCCCCAATGTCCCCCAACGTCCCTGATGTCCCCAATGTCTCCAGTGTCCCTCACCCCTGAGATGTCCCCAATTTCCCCAGTGTCCCTTATCCCTGACGTCCCCAGTGTCCCCAGTGTCCCCAATCCCCCAACATCCCCAATATCCCCAATGTCCCCAATGTCCCCAATGTCTCCAGTGTCCCTCACCCCTGAGATGTCCCCAATTTCCCCAGTGTCCCTTATCCCTGACGTCCCCAGTGTCCCCAATCCCCCAATGTCCCTGATGTCCCCAATGTCTCCAGTGTCCCTCACTCCTGAGGTGCTCCTGATGTCCCTGATGTGCCCAATGTCCCTTATCCCCGACACCCCAGTGTCCCCAATCCCTCAATGTCCCCGATGTCCCCAATCCCCCAATGTCCCCAATATCCCCCCTGTCCCCCCTGATGTCCCCTTTGTCCCTCACCCCAGCCCCTCTGCAGGCCGCTGCCAGCGGTGGCCATGCCCTCAGTGGCGACAGTGACAGCGGTGACAGTGGCAGCAGTGGTGGCAGTGGTGGCCCTGTCCTCGTCCTTGCTGTCCCCAGGGTGTCCCCAATGTCCTTCACCCCCAACATCCCCAATGTCCTCAATGTCCCTGATGTCTCCAGTGTCCCTCGTCCCTGAGGTGTCCTCCATGTCCCCGATGTCCCTGACAACCCCAGTGTCCCCAATCCCCTGATGTCCCCAATGTCCCCAATGTCTCCGGTGTCCCCAAAGTCCCTGATATCCCGAATGTCCCTTATCCCTGACATCCCCAATGTCCCCAATCCCTCAATGTCCCCGATGTCCCCCAACGTCCCTGATGTCCCCAATGTCCCTCGATGTCCCTGATGTCTCCCAACATCCCCAGTGTCCCCAACTCCCCCAATGTCCTCAATGTCTCCACTGTCCCCAATGTCTCCAGTGTCCCTCACCCCAGCCCTTCGCGGGCCGGTGGCAGCGGTGGCCGTGTCTCGGTGGCCGTGCCCTCAGCAGTGACAGTGACAGAGGTGACAGTGGTGACAGTGGTGGTGGTGGCCCTGTCCTCGTCCTCGCTGTCCCCGGGGTGTCCCCAATGTCCTTCACCCCCAACATCCCAAATGTCCCAAATGTCCTCAATGTCCCCAGTGTCTCCAATGTCCCCTGATGTCCTTGATGTCAGCAATATGCCAAATGTCCCTGATGTCTACAATGTCCCCAATCCCCCAATGACCCCAATGTCCTTGATGTCCCCAATAGTCCCAATGCCCTCAATGTCTCCCAATGTCCCCCAACGTCCCTGATGTCCCCAATGTCCCCAATGTCTCCAGTGTCCCTCACCCCTGAGATGTCCCCAATTTCCCCAGTGTCCCTTATCCCTGACCTCCCCAGTGTCCCCAATCCCCCAACGTCCCTGATGTCCCCAATGTCTCCAGTGTCCCTCACTCCTGAGGTGCTCCTGATGTCCCTTATCTCTGACATCCCCAACATCTCCAGTGTCCCCAATCCCCCAATGTCCCCAATGTCCCCAATGTCTCCAGTGTCCCTCACCCCTGAGGTGTCCCCAATGTCCCTGATATCCCCAATGTCCCTTATCCCCAACGTCCCCAATCCCCCAATGTCCCTGATGTCCCCAATGCCCTCAATGTCCCTGACGTCCCCAATGTCTCCAGTGTCCCTCACGCCTGAGGTGTCCCCGACGTCCCCAATCCCTCAATGTCCCCAATGTCCCCAATGTCCCTTATCCCCAACATCCCCAATCCCCCCCTGTCCCCTCTGATGTCCCCTCTGTCCCTCACCCCAGCCCCTCCGCAGGCCGCTGGCAGCGGTGGCCGTGTCTCGCTGGCCGTGCCCTCAGTGGTGACAGTGACAGAGGTGACAGTGGCAGAGGTGACAGTGGCAGCAGTGGTGGCAGTGGTGGCCCTGTCCTCGTCCTCACTGTCCCCAGGGTGTCCCCAATGTCCTTCACCCCCAACATCCCCAATGTCCCCAGTGTCCCTCACCCTCAATGTTCTTACACCCGAGGTGTCCCCAATGCTCCCAGTCCCCCATGTCCCCAATGTCCTTCATCCCCAACATCCCCAATGTCCCCAGTGTCTCCAATGTCCCCTGATGTCCTTGATGTCCCCACTATGTCCAGTGTCCCCAATGTCCCTGATGTCTACAATGTCCCCAATCCCCCAATGTCCCCAATAGCCCCAATGCCCTCAATGTCCCCAATGTCTCCAGTGTCCCTCACCCCTGAGGTGTCCCCGATGTCCCCGATGTCCCTGATATCCCCAATGTCCCTTATCCCCGACGTCCCCAGTGTCCCCAATCCCCCAATGTCCCCAATGTCCCCAGTGTCCCTCACTCCTTAGGTGTCCCCAATGTCCCTGACGTCCCCAATGTCCCCAATCCCCCAGTGTCCCTGATGTCCCCAATGTCTCCAATGTATCTCACCCCTGAGGTGTCCCCAATGTCCCTAATGTCTCCCAATGTCCCCAATGTCCCCCAACGTCCCTGATGTCCCCAACGTCCCCAATGTCCCCAGTGTCCATCACCCCTGAGGTGTCCCCAGTGTCCCCGATGTCCCCGACATCCCCAACATCCCCAGTGTCCCCAATCCCTCAATGTCCCCAATGTCCCCAATCCCCCAATGTCCCCAGTATTCCCCCTGTCCCCTCTGATGTCCCCTCTGTCCCTCACCCCAGCCCCTCCGCAGGCCGCTGCCAGCGGTGGCCGTGTCTCGGTGCCCTCGGCGGTGACAGAGGTGACAATGGCAGCAGTGGCAGCAGTGGTGGCAGCGGTGGCCCTGTCCTCGTCCTCGCTGTCCCCCGGGGTGTCCCCAATGTCCTTCACCCCCAACATCCCCAATGTCCCCAGTGTCTCCAGTGTCCCCAATGTCCCCAATGTCTCCAGTGTCCCTCACCCCTGAGGTGTCCCCAATGTCCCCGATGTCCCTGATATCCCCAATGTCCCCAATCCCCTCAATGTCCTCAGTGTCCTCAATGTCCCTGATGTCCCCAATGTCCCTTATCCCCGACATCCCCAGTGTCCCCAATCCCCTGATGTCCCCGATGTCCCTGATGTCCCCGATGTCCTCAATATCTCCCGTGTCCCCAAAGTCTCCAGTGTCCCTCACCCCTGAGGTGTCCCCAATGTCCCCGACGTCCCCAGTGTCCCCAATCCCTCAATGTCCCCAATGTCTCCAGTGTCCCTCACCCCTGAGGTGTCCCCAATGTCCTCAATGTCCCTGACATCCCCAACGTCCCCAGTGTCCCTGATGTCCCCGATGTCACCAATGTCCCTTATCCCTGACATCCCCAGTGTCCCCAATACCTCAATGTCCCCGATGTCCCCAATCCCCCAATGTCCCCAATATCCCCTCTGTCCCCTCTGATGTCCCCTCTGTCCCTCACCCCAGCCCCTCCGCAGGCCGGTGCCAGCGGTGGCCGTGTCTCGGTGCCCTCGGCGGTGACAGAGGTGACAGTGGCAGCAGTGACAGCAGCAGTGGCACTGGTGGTGGTGGCCCTGTCCTCGTCCTCGCTGTCCCCGGGGTGTCCCCAGACGATGGCCTCGCGCTGCAGCTCCCGGCGGTAGCGGCTGGAGCGCTCCGAGAGGCTGGCGCGGCGAACCACCTTCCTGCAACGGGGTTATTGTGGGGTTTGTGTGGGGTTTGTGGGGTTTGGGGGGTTTTGTGGGGTTTGTGGGGGGATTTGTGGGGTTTGTGGGGGGTTTTTATGGGGTTTTTGTGGGGTTTTGTGAAGTTTTGTGGGGATTATGTGGGATTTTATGGGGTTTTATGGGGGTTTTGTGGGGTTTATGGGGGGTTTTATGGGGCTCTTGGGGGGTTTTATGGGGTTTTGGGGGGTTTTATGGGGTTTCATGGGTTTAGAAGATTTAGGGCATTTGGGGTTTGTGTGGGGTTCTTGGGGGCTTTTGAAGATTTAGGGCATTTGGGGTTTATGGGGTTTGTGTGGGGTTTGTGGGGGGAATTTGTGGGGTTTATGGGGTTTGTGTGGGGTTTGTGTCGGGTTTTGGGGGGGGTTTGTGGGGTTTGTGTGGGGTTTGTGTGGGGTTTTATGGGGTTTGTGTGGGGTTTGTGTAGGGTTTGGGGGGGATTTGTGGGGTTTGCGGGGGTTTGTGTCGGGTTTTTGTGGGGTTTATGGGGGGTTTAGAAGATTTAGGGCATTGGGGGTTTATGGGGGTTTATGGGGGTTTTGTGGGGTTTATGGGGTTTTTGTGGGGGTTTTGGGGGTATGGGGTTTATGGGAATTCAGGATTGCAAGGGATTGGGGTTTATGGGGTTTGTGTGGGGTTTGTGTCGGGTTTTGTGGGGTTTCTGTGGGGTTTGTGTTGGGTTTGGGGGGGATTTGTGGGGTTTTTGGGGTTTGTATGGGGTTTGTGGGGTTTGTGTGGGGTTTTATGGGGTTTTGTGGGGGTTTGTGGGGTTTTTATGGGGTTTGTGTGGGGTTTGTGGGGTTTGTGTGGGGTTTGTGTGGGGTTCTGTGGGGGTTTTGGGGGTATGGGGTTTATGGGAATTCAGGATTGCAAGGGATTGGGGTCTTGTGGGGTTTTGTGGGGTTTGTGTGGGGTTTGTGTGGGGTTTGTGTGGGGTTTATGGGGTTTTGTGAAGTTTTGTGGGGTTTATGGTTTTTTTGGTGGGGTTTGTGTTGGGTTTGGGGTGGATTTGTGGGGTTTGTGGGGTTTGTGTGGGGTTTGTGTGGGATTTTTATGGGGTTTTGGGGGGGTTTATGGGGGTGTTTGTGGGGTTTTGTGGGGTTTTTGTGGGGTATGGGGTTTATGGGAATTCAGGATTGCAAGGGATTGGGGTTTATGGGGGTTTTGTGGGGTTTTTGTGGGGTTTATGGGGGGTTTTGTGGGGTTTAGAAGATTTAGGGCATTTGAAGTTTATGGGGTTTTTGTGGGGTTTTATGGGGTTTGTGTGGGGTTTTGTGGGGTTTGTGTCAGGTTTTGGGGGAAATTTGTGGGGTTTTTGGGGGGTTTATGGGGTTTTATTGGATTTATGGGCGTTTTGTGGGATTTTGTAAAGTTTTGTGGGGATTATGTGGGATTTTATGGGGTTTTATGGGGGTTTTGTGGGGTTTTTGCGGGGTTTTTGTGGGATTTTATGGGGTTTGTGTGGGGTTTGTGTGGGGTTTGTGGGGTTTTTATGGGGTTTATGGGGTTTGTGTGGGGTTTTTGTGGGATTTTATGGGGTTTGTGTGGGGTTTGTGTGGGGTTTTGTGGGGTTTTTATGGGGTTTGTGGGGTGTAGAAGATTTAGGGCATTTGGGGTTTATGGGGGTTGATGGGGGTTGATGGGGATTTGTGGGGTTTTTGTGGGGTTTCTGGGGTTTATGGGAATTCAGGATTAGAAGGGACCGGGGTTTATGGGTTTTGTGGGATGTAGAAGATTTAGGGCATTTGGGGTTTATGGGGGTTTTTGTGAGGTTTTGTGGGGTTTATGGGGGGTTTTGTGGGGTTTTTGTGGGGTTTATGGGGGGTTTAGAAGATTTAGGGCATTGGGGGTTTATGGGGGTTTATGGGGGTTTTGTGGGGGTTTTGGGGGTATGGGGTTTATGGGAATTCAGGATTGCAAGGGATTGGGGTTTTGTGGGGTTTGTGTGGGGTTTGTGGGGTTTGTATGGGGTTTGTGTCGGGTTTTGGGGGGGATTTGTGGGGTTTGTGTGGGGTTTGTGTGGGGTTTGTGTGGGGTTTATGGGGTTTTGTGAAGTTTTGTGGGGTTTATGGTTTTTTTTGGTGGGGTTTGTGTTGGGTTTGGGGGGGATTTGTGGGGTTTGTGTGGGGTTTGTGGGGTTTATGGGGGTTTCTGTGGGGTTTGTGGGGTGTTTATGGGGTTTTATGGGGGGTTTGTGTGGGGTTTTTATGGGATTTATGGGGTTTTTATGGGGTTTGTGTGGGGTTTGTGTGGAGTTTGTATGGGGTTTGTGGGGTTTGTGTGGGGCTTGTGGGGTTTATGGGGTTTGTGTGGGGTTTGTGGGGGGATTTGTGGGGTTTATGGGGGTTTTTATGGGGTTTTTGTGGGGTTTGTGTGGGGTTTGTGTGGGGATTATGTGGGATTTTATGGGGTTTTATGGGGGTTTTGTGGGGTTTTTGCGGGGTTTTGTGGGATTTTATGGGGATTGTGTGGGGTTTGTGTGGGGTTTATGGGGTTTGTGTGGGGTTTGTGGGGTTTTTGTGGGATTTTATGGGGATTGTGTGGGGTTTTCTGGGGTTTGTGTGGGGTTTGGGGGGTTTGTGTGGGGTTTTTATGGGATTTATGGGGTTTTTATGGGGTTTGTGTGGGGTTTGTGTGGGGTTTTTATGGGGTTTGTGGGGTTTTTGTGGGGTTTTTATGGGATTTGTGTGGGGTTTGTGTGGGGTTTTTATGGGGTTTGGGCGGTTTTGTGTGGGGATTTGTGGGGGTTTTGAGGTTTGTGTGGGGTTTATGGGGTTTTTGGGGGGATTTGTGGGGTTTATGGGGTTTGTGTGGGGTTTTTGGGGGGATTTGTGGGGTTTTGTGGGGTTTGTGTGGGGCTTGTGTGGGGTTTTGGGGGGGATTTGTGGGGTTTGTGTGGGGTTTGTGTGGGGTTTGTGTGGGGTTTTTATGGGGGTTTTGTGGGGTTTGTGTGGGGTTTCTGGGGTTTATGGGGGTTTCTGTGGGGTTTGTGGGGTTTATGGGGGTTTCTGTGGGGTTTGTGGGGTGTTTATGGGGTTTTATGGGGGGTTTGTGGGGTTTTTATGGGGTTTGGGGGGTTTGTGTGGGGTTTTTATGGGATTTATGGGGTTTTTATGGGGTTTGTGTGGGGTTTGTGTGGGGTTTTATGGGGTTTGGGGGGTTTTGTGTGGGGTTTTTGGGGTTTATGGGGTTTGTGTGGGGTTTGTGTGGGGTTTGTGTGGGGTTTGTGTGGGGTTTTTATGGGGGTTTTGTGGGGTTTTTGGGGGTTTTGTGGGGTTTTGGGGGGTTTTGTGGGGTTTTTGGGGGTTTTGTGGGGTTTATGGGGGTTTTTGCAGGGTTTTTGTGGGTTTTTGTGGGGTTTGTGTGGGGTTTTTATGGGGTTTGTGTGGGGTTTGTGTGGGGTTTTGTGGGGTTTTTATGGGGTTTGTGTGGGGTTTTTGTGGGATTTTATGGGGTTTGTGTGGGATTTTATGGGGTTTGTATGGGGTTTGTATGGGGTTTGTGTGGGGTTTTTGGGGGGTTTGTGTGGGGTTTGTGTGGGGTTTGTGTGGGGTTTGTGGGGTTTGTGTGGGGTTTGTGTGGGGTTTGTGTGGGGTTTGGGGGGGGATTTGTGGGGTTTTTGTGGGGTTTTGTATGGGGTTTTGTGGGGTTTTGTGAAGTTTTGTGGGGTTTCTGTGGGGTTTTGTGGAGTTTATGGGGTTTTGGTGGGGTTTTTGGGGGTTTTTGTGGGGTATGGGGTTTATGGGAATTCAGGATTGCAAAGGATCGGGGTTTATGGGGTTTGTGTGGGGTTTGTGGGGTTTATGGGTTTTTTATGGGGTTTATGGGGTTTGCGTGGGGTTTGCGTGGGGTTTGGTGGGGTTTAGGGGGTTTTGTGGGGCTTTTGGGGGGTTTTATGGGGTTTGTGGGATTTTATGGGGTTTTTGCAGGATTTTATGGGGATTGTGTGGGGATTTGTGGGGTTTGTGTGGGGTTTGTGTGGGGTTTGTGGGGGTTTTGTGAAGTTTTGTGGGGTTTTTGTGGGGTTTGTGTGGGGTTTGTGGGGTGTAGAAGATTTAGGGCATTTGGGGTTTATGGGGTTTTGTGGGGTTTATGGGGTTTTTCTGGGGTTTCGGGTGGTTTTATGTGATTTAGGGGGTTTATGGGGGTTTGTGTGGGGTTTTGTGGGGTTTTTGTGGGGTTTGTGTGGGGTTTTGTGGGATTTATGGGGTTTTTGTGGGGTTTGTGTGGGGTTTATGGGGGTTTGTGTGGGGTTTATGGGGGTTTTTGTGGGGTATGGGGTTTATGGGAATTCAGGATTGCAAGGGATGGGGGTTTATGGGGTTTTGTGGGGTTTATGGGGTTTTTGTGGGGTTTTTGTGGGGATTTATGGGAATTCAGGATTGCAAGGGATCGGGGTGTGTGGAGTTTGTGTGGGGTTTATGAGGTTTTGTGGGGTTTATTGGGGTTTTATGGTGCTTATGGGGTTTTTGTGGGGTTTTGTGGGGGTTTTGTGGGGTTTAGAAGATTTAGGGCATTTGGGTTTTGTGGGGTTTATGGGGGTTTTATGGTTTTTTTTCTGGGTTTATGGGATTTATGGGGTTTCTGTGGGGGTTTTGTGGGGTTTTTGTGGGGTTTTTGCAGCGTTTTTGTGGGATTTTATGGGGTTTGTGTGGGGTTTGTGTGGGGTTTGTGTGGGGTTTATGTGGGGTTTTGTGTGGTTTTATGGGATTTAAGGGGTTTTTGGGGGCTTTTGTGGGGTTTAGAAGATTTAGGGCATTTGGGGTTTATGGGGCTTTTGTGGGGTTTTATGGGATTTTATGGGGTTTGTGTGGGGTTTATGGGGGTGTTTGTGGGGTTTTGGGGGTATGGGGTTTATGGGAATTCAGGATTGCAAGGGATTGGGGTTTGTGGGGTTTTGGGGATTTGTGGGGTTTATGGGGTTTGTGTGGGGTTTGTGTGGGGTTTGTGTGGGGTTTGTG